ACAGGCAGAATAGAACTGTTAGCCTTGGCCTAAAGCTGCCTCCAAGTATTTTAAGTTTGATTTAAAAGTTTCCCAGCACAAATGGAACTGTAACTTGCTGTTGTATAAACAGACTATAAACTTCTCTTGTAGTAAGTAGCTGAGTCTCAGCCAACCACAGTGGCCACCTGTTCAAATAAAATGTACACGATGATGGAAACCAATTAAGCTATCTCTGTGGATCACTTCCGTTTCCTATACATCACTTCCTTCATTCTGTGTACTAGCCCATGTTGTATGGGAAGGGCGTTCTGAAATACTTTGGATGCCAACTGTTGCTTGATTATGGCATTGCAAATAAAGTCAGTTAAGATCTGCAGAGTTAGGCTCGGCACAGTGGCCTAGCAGCTAAAGTCTTCACTTTGAACATGTCAGGATCCCATATGGGCATCAGTTCTAATCCTGGCAGTCCCACTTCCCATCCAGCTCCCTGCTTGTGGCCTGGGAAAGCAGTCAAGGACAGACCAAAACTTGGGACCCTGCACCCATGTGGGAGACCTAGAGGAAGTTCCTAGCTCCTGGCTTAAGCTTGGTGCAGCACCAGCCATTGTAGTCACTTGGGGAGTGAATCACTGGATGGAGGATCTTCTTCTCTGTCTCTCCCTCTCTCTGTATATCGGATTTTGTAATAAAAATAAAAATAAATCTTAAAAAAAAAAAAGAGCTCCAGAGTTTAACCTAGCAGTTAAGATAGCCATTTCTCGTGTTAGAATACCTGGTGGCTTTAATACCTGGCTTAAACCTGACTCTGGCTCATGACACAGCTTCCTGTTGGTGCAGACTCTGAGAAGCAACAGTGATTGCTTAAGTCACAGGGTTGCTGCCACTCACACGGAAGACCTAGATTGAGTTGCTGGCTCCCAGCTGTAGGTCTGACCCAGCTGACTGGCCCAGCCTCAAAAGCTTCAGGCATTTTGAAAATAAACCAGTTTCTCTCTCTCTCCAAGTGCCTCTGTGCCTCTCAAACACATAAATAAATTTTAAGGGGTTGGCATCAGTCTCATGCATGTACTGGTTTGAGTCCCGGCTGCTTCACCTCTGTGACTGGGAAAGCAACAGAAAAAGACTAAGTCTTTGGACCCCTGCACCTACATGGGAGATCTGGAAGAAGTTCTTGACTCCTCATTTCAGATGGCCCAGCTCCAGCAGTTGTGGCCACTGAGGGAGAGAACCAACTAGTGGATGGAAGATCTCTGTTTATCCTCTCTGTTACATTGTTTTTCAAATAAACAAGTCTTGAAAAAACCAAATTTTAGGAGAACTCTGCAAATTAGATTTGTTGTAATTTTGTGTTTTAACAATGAGTGGTTGATGATGTGTTTTAAAACATCCCACTCTGGTTATAAAATTTTCTGAAAATCAAGCGCACTGCAAACCAGAATCCTTTGCTTTGTTCCATTAGCTAGGCCAGCTCCACTCTAGTGGAGGTAGGGTTTTGCCGTGGGCCTTTACTTAGACTCTCAGAACTGTTTTGTCTGACTGAAATTCTTTATATTTCTTAAAAAATAATAATAATCTGTTTGAAGAACTTGACCATTCTGTTTTCCAATGTCCTCACCCACAGAATAGCTTTGCCTTGATTTTAGTGCCAGGAAAATGTTTGAATGTCCGGATAACTTGAATGTTTCATCTTATTGCTATGGGGTGCAGTCAGTGAAAGCCAGCACCCCTTAACAGTGGGCACATGGAATGTGGCTGTATCCCCCAGCCACTGTTCATTGCTTGGGTGAGTCAGTAAAGATTTAATGTTCTTTATATTTCTAATTGTGTACTTTCAAAAGAGTTCCAGGAAAGCTGCAGTCTAATAGTAATGAAATGTTAATTCCACCTTTAGGGGGAAGTGCTCAGTGTCTCCCATTCCTCCCTTCCTGCCTCCAGTTACTGAAGTTAATCAGAAGTATTGCATTGTATAATAAAACACTGTACTGTGCACCTTTCAAACTAATTGGAGGGTGAGAGTGTTAGTTTTTTAAAACAGAGTTCTAGTTCATACGTTATTACAATATTATTACACGCAGCTAATTCCCGCAACCTGGTTCTTTACCGTGAGCCGAAAACAACAGATGCAACGAGGTATCTTAGGAGGTTTATTCCAGCAGGGCAGGAACAGGACAGGGTGGTGGGAGAGCAGCCGTGGGGTGGGGGGGAGGGAAGGAAAGAGGGGAAGGGAGGCCGGAAGGAAAAGAGAGAGACAGAGCCACACCTGGGGGCCTTTTTGTTACTCAGGTGAGTCTGCAAAGTGTGGGGGGTGGGGATTGGGAGGGATTGAGGGTAAGGTCCCAGGGGATTGGTGCCTGAGACTGTCACAGGTGATTGCCTAGGAATGATTGGTAAGTGGCCGGAGCTGGGGAAGGGATGGGGAGATTGGGGCTGGGGTTCTCAGATGAAATGCAGGGTTACATCTGATTGGTGGACAGCTGGACTGGCATGAAGTTCATGAGCTGTGAGGAAGAGAAAATGGCACCGGGTCCAGGGTGGGATATTTGAATAATTCCTTATATTCCTCCCCTTTATTATATATAAGGAAGAGGGGCATTGTTCTCTATGGCTTCTAGGAGCTGAGTTTTCTCTTGGCAGTGGTTGCAGCCTGGTGGGAGAAATGGGGGATGGAGGGACGCTCTTAGTCCTGCAAAAGAAACTGGTTAATGGTTTGATTAGAAAAGAAATTTTTCTCCCTACATTTGAGTGGATGACACAGGAATGGAAGGAGGGTTATTAAGAGTGCTTTTGAGAAAGTGGCATGAGTTCATTTTCTCTTAGCCAGGCCTTCTTGTACTTTGGTCATTGATTCTTCATTACTCCTGCATGGCCAACGACAAGGTAGCTTCACCAGGAACCAGAGACCCTGACTGCCTGTCATCCCATCTAACTCCTCACATTTCCAAACAGAGGAATGAACCCCAACAGCATTTAAGGACAAAGGGACAGCGACCACTCTCTCTGCTTCGAGCTGAAAGGGGGCGTTGTTAAGTAACAACAGCAGTAGAGGGTTCTAAAAGTTCCTGGTAGAAGGTAGAATTCATCAGGTGTTCGAAGTACAACCTGGCCCTTGAAGGCTTCTCTTAGTTGAGGTCTAGATAACAAAACATAACCTAGTGATAATCTTTCCTAACCTAGCAGGTTGTGAGTTCAGTTAGAAACCCAGTTGGAATACTTGGGCTTTCAAGCCTAGATATGAAAGAATTGTCAGGTTTCAACCTTTCAGGCTCACCTGAGTGACAAAAAGGCCCCCAGGTGTGGCTCTGTCTCTTCTTCCAGCCTCCCTTCCCCTCTTTCCTTCTCTTTTCCCCGCTTCTCTCCCGCCACCCCGTCCTGTGTCCTGTTCTGCCCTGCTGGAATAAACCTCCTAAGATACCTCGTTGCATCTGTTGTTTTCGGCTCACGGTAAAGAACCAGGTTGCAGGAATTAGCTGCCTCTTGAACAGAACTTGAGTCTGTCACATCAAGCACAGAAGCTAACACCTGCTCCAGTGTAGGATAACATTGTGACCCTAGAGGGTCAGTGAGCACAGGATTACAGTTGATTGGATAATATTTGCATGAGAACAACCGAATGGCTACCTTTTGTATACCTGAATGGATATTATTTGTATAAGAACAGTTGAGTGGTCAGTATGTGTGTGAGAACACTTGGTGGAATATACAAGACAAAAGGAGTTCCAAACAAACAAAAGCATAGAAATTGTTACTGGGTTTTGTTGATGAGCTCAATACTTCCTCCCTTATCCCATATGACCCTCAGTGTATAAAGTCGGATGCCACTAATAAACTTTGGCTTTGACCATCAGTCAGGGTCCGCTCCGTGCACCAAGTCCATCGCTGCGGGATGGCCACGCTCCAGGGGCTGAGGAAAAGACCAGGGAAAGCAGGCACAATATGCTTAGCATGTTTCACAGAAAGGATGGGGCTTCACAGAACTGCTTAAGCCCAGGGTCCACCCAGAGAGATCCACTGTGTTTCTGCCCAGAGTACCTCTAGAATTGGATGGGAACCTAGGAGATAAGCAGGGATGGAAGACAAGCAATGCTGTTTTTTATTTCCTTACAAACTGTACTACTGATACTATCAGTTATTTTTAATTACTGATAGCCAGTTTGAATTAGCCCCCGGCTAAGAAATTCCTTCCAATGCTCAGGCTCCAGCAGAGGTAGTGTGATGCTCCAGTTTCTGTGCTAGAAACTCTGACTCTTCTGTGCAATCCTTCCAGGTTTCCTGTATCACCCCACCCTCACAACCCCGCACTGAGACCCCTGGAGCCCGTTGATCAGTTACACACACTCCGGCAGCCTCAACAGCTGCATGGAACCATCAGCTAAACTCGGTTTGACCTGCAGCCACCTCCACATCTGGAATCCATTGAAAGGAACTCGGTAGGTAAACTAAACGCCTAATTTAGGAGCATACTCGCCTACGGAACTGCCGAGTTTTAGCCAATCACAGCAGCCAAGCTTCAGCCAATCCCAGGCTGCCGATAGTTCAGTCTGTGCCCAAATAAGCCAGAGAGAGAGAGAGAGAGACAGACAGACAGAGAGAGACAGAGAGAGAGAGAGAGAGAGAGAGAGAGAGAGAGAGAGAGAGAGAAAGAACAGGAGTGAGTTCTGTAACCAGCCAAGTTGTCGCTCCCAGTTTCATCATTCTGCCTGGAAAGATTTGCCTGGCCACACTCGTGAGTTTTCTGAACTCGTGATTCTGAGCTCTATCCAACTGGTGAATTTTTTGTTCAAGCAAGTCTATCAGACTTAATTCATCCAAAGTCTATATTTTCGCATTATTCGCATTATCTACTTCATGTGATACTGTCTTCCCAGACATAGCCTTCTTCAGCATAAACTGCTAAATCTCTCACACCTTCTATTCTACTGGATCACAAGATTGACTGAACATGCTTGCTCCCCATTGCTGCTCACAGACCAAGTTCAAAATCCCACTTCCAGCCAGAGGAAGAAGAAAAAAACAATCCTGTGCTCCCTTCAGCAGCACATATACTAAAATCAGAATGATACAGAAGAGATTAGCATGCTCCTGCACAAGAATAACGCGCAAATCCATGAAGCCTTCCATATTTAAGAAAAAGCAAAGAAAAACAAACAATCCCACTTACATCTTCCTCTGCAACCTAAGTCCTGGATGTCTTAAAAGTAAACAGTAAGTATCTAGTAATTGAGCTATCCTGCATTTTTCTTTTTAAATTTTATTTATTTATTTGATAACTTTATTGTTTGAGAGGCAGAAGGCTGCACATGCACACACACACACACATCGTTTCTGTCAGTTCATTCATAAATGCCTTCATTTGAGAAGCATCCTAGCCAGGGGTGGCCTAGGATGCAGGAATACGTTTCAGGTCTCCCCCATGGGTGTGAGGGACCCAACTACCTGAGCCATCACCTACTGCCAGAGTCTGCACTGGCAGAAAGCTGGCATAAGGAATCCAATGTGGAATGCCAGCTAGGTCAAATGCCCATTGTTCACGTGGCCTGGAGTGTTTCTTCTCCCGTTCACCTTCACTGCAGGGTGGTGGCCACTCCCACGGGCACACTCAACACTTGGCTGCCAGTAGCTTTTCTGCTCCTCAAGCCTTTCCATCTTTACAGCCTACCCATCATCCTGTTCTCAGACTCTCAATTACTCGAGTGCATTGTTGTCTTCCCAAACTCAGGTTTCTTGAGGCGTAATTTAGGTTTATTTATTTAAGCTTTGTTTCGGTTTAACTGCTGCAAATACCACTGCTCCTATTTAAAGGACACAGTGGATGAGTTTTGGCATCCATGTATATCCACGAAATTATTATTGTAATACTTAGAACATACCATGACTTAAGTTTGCTCACGCCCTTTTTAAATTCCCCCTTTCTTCTCCCTGCTTTTTGCCCTCAAAGCAAACCACCTCTCTGCTTTATGTTACTCTAGATTGGTTTCTATTTTGTCTAAATTTTCACCAATACAATAATGTGTTACATATTTTTGTCTTCTTTCACTTTAAAGTTTCATCCTTTTTTAAAAAAAGATTTATTTATTTATTGGAAAGTCAGATATACAGAGAGGAGGAGAGACAGAGAGGAAGATCTTCCATCCGTTGATTCACTCCCCAAGTGAGCGCAATGGCCAATGCTATGCTGATCTGAAGCCAGGATCCAGGAACTTCTTCCGGGTATCCCACATGGGTGCAGGGTCCCAAGGCTTTGGGCTGTCCTCGACTGCTCTCCCAGGCCACAAGCAGGGAGCTGTATGGGAAGTGGAGCTGCCGGGATTAGAATCAGCGCGTTCAAGGCAAGGACTTTAGCTGCTAGGCCGCGCATCCAGGCCCAAGTTTCATCCATGTTGTGTATCTATCAACAGTGCCTCCCCTTTCATTCCTAAGCAGTGGTCCATTGGGTAGACGTACTGCTCCTGTTGATCCAGTCACTGGTTGCAAAACAGAGATATTTCCAAGTGTTTAACCATTACAAATAAATCTGTGAACGGTTATATGCAAGTCTTTGTGTGGAAATGTTGAGGTATAATTCAGATACTAAAAATTCACTATCACATATGATTGTGTGACAAATGTGTACAAGATACAATTTGATAGGCAATCATGTAATCATGTAATTGCAATCATGTAATCACCATTGGAATCCAACTATACAGTATCCCAATACCCCAGTTCTCTTGAGCATGTTTTTTCACCCTCACTCCCTGACAACCACTAGTCTGATTTCTGTCTTAGTAGCTCTGAATTCTAGAATGTCTCCTAAGTAGGAGCATCCAGGACACATCTCTTTTGTGTCTGGTTTCTGTATCATAGCACATTGCTTTGCTTTTTAGGATATGTTTATTTGAAAGACAGAGTTATAGCAAGAGACAAATAGACATCTTCCATCTGTTCACACGTCAGAGGGCCACGGTGGTTGAGGCTGACGCAGGCCAAGAGCAAGAGGCTGGAATTCCATCTGGTCTCCCACACAGATGCAGGGGTCTGAGAACTTCTGCCACCTTCTGCTTTCTCAGATTGGCAGGGAACTGGGTTGGAAGTGGAATATCTGGGGTTCAAACTGGTATCCATACAGGAGGCTGGCACTGCAAGTGGTGGCTTAAAGGTCTATGCTACAGTGCTCGCCTCAATTCTCATTCTTTTCAAACTTTTGCTCATACTTTCAACTTTTCATCCCTCATGCTTTCCTATGAAGTTCACCCTACAGAACTCCACCTCTGGGATCGATTCAATCACCCCTTTCCTTTGTTCATGTTCTGGCTGTTCTACTCACCATCCAGCTCCCTGCTTGTGGTCTGAGAAAGCAGCAGAGGATGTCATATCCTTGGGACCCTGCACCCACACAGGGGACGCAAAGGAGTCCCCCAGCTTGGATCAATTCAGCTCTGACTATTGTGGCCAGCTGGGAAGTGAACCAGCAGATGGAAGATCCTTCTATCTCTCCTTCTTTCTGTAAATCTGCCTTTTCAATAAAAGTAATCTTGAGAGAGAGAGAGAGAGAGAGAACATGAACCAGCACTCACATGAAGTGGCAGTGCTGCAGGTGGCTGCTCCCCAGGCCAGGCTGCCAGCACTCAAACAGCTGAGTTAGCTCCATCCTTTTGAAGTCTCAGAACCTTGACTTGCTCTGCTCCTCTGTCTAGAATATCTTCCCCCACCAGGGCAAGCTTCTTCCCCCAGGAGTGAGCTGGTTTTGGGGACTCTTCTAGCACACCTCAGTGTTCCTCTGCCCTCTTTTGCTGTGTTCCTAGTAATCAAAGCAAGTTCTCATTTGTGTTTTTGACAAATATCTGTTGAGTGCCTGCCGTGTGCCAGGCTGTGTTCCAAGGTCCAGAGATGTAACATCGAACAATCCAGATAAGATTGTTGTGGAACTGATATTGTAGTGCAAGAGACAGTCAATAAGCAGGTTTACTCCTTACAGTAGGAACGTGATCTGCTGGGTTAGAAGAGGCCATGGGACAGGGGTGAAGATGAGAGGTCGTACCCCAGCCAAACATGTCAGGCAGGTTGGAGGGACAGGGACCACCCTAACTGCAACAGGGGAAGAGGAAGAAGAGGCCAGGGAGGGTGTGAGTGATCAGATTCTCTCAGACCAAGGCCCTTCAGGCTGCCTATCCTGCTGCGAAGGTGCGGGAGCTTTTACTGGGTGAAATGGGAAGCCTCTGCAAGATTTTAAGCAGAGAAAGGACAGAATTTAGTTCATCTCTAAAATGTCTGGCTACAGTGTGGAGAATGGATACATCAGAAACCTGGTGAAACCAAGAACCTGTTGCAACAGTCCAGGTGAGGCGTGATGTTTGGACCATGGTGGTGGATGTGGAAGTCACAGGACGAACATTCCTTTGATTTAGTTGTGCACGAGTGACACTACGAACACAGTGCATTGCCAACAGGTTACTACTGCAGTGGACTTAATGCACCTTGTCAGGTCAGGGAATGGTAACTCAAGGGGACAGCAAAGGTTTGAAGTTACCAAGGAGACAGAGCTGCAGGGATCTGAAAATTTAAGAGGGTTGGGGCCTCCAGGCCTCTGGCGCAGCAGTAATTCCGCAGCCAAGCCCACCAGCTGCTGCCCAGCAACCATGCGCAACAGGCAGGGAAGGAGCCTATGGAAAGCGCAGGACTTTGGCAAAGACGGGTGAGCGCATCCCGGGAATGGTAGTTCCGCGCCTGTGCGCAGGCGCGCAGGAGCTCTCAGGCTTGCGCGCGCACGACCAGCTTCTGGAAGCTCATTGCGGTGGCATTGATGCTGGCTGCGGATGCTGCTGCAGGTATCGGTTGTCCCAGACCCCTAGTTTTTAGAGCTGCGGCTGCGGCACCCACACCGAGCGCGTCTCTCAGGCGGGACGGGTATTGAGAGTCTGGCCGTGCCTTTCGCCGGCTGCGGCTTCGGTGGGAGGTGGGTACTTTTCTGGGGGACTGAGCCCCCTGTCTCTCCCTGCTCCTTAATCTGCAACTTTGGCGCTTTTTGGCCTTGGCGGCGGGATCCCTCCTTGTTGTGAGTTGGGTGGGGGTGGGGGTGGCTGTCCCACTGTTGCGAGGATGCTTAGCGGCATCCCTGGCTTCATGCCACCTAACTACCAGTAACACTTTTTCCTGGCTCGTGATCATAAAAAAATGTGCAGGCATCGCCAAAGACCCTTTTGGAGCACCAGTGCCTGCTCTTTCTGGCTATGGTTGAAAACCTCTGGCTGCGTCACGTTTTCTTGGAGCCTCCCTTCTTAGGTGTCTAGGAGACAGAAGCGAGCGCAGTCACCGCAAAGTCCCAGGTGCTCAGGTCCCTGGTGGTCGCCTAACAATTGATAAAAGAACAAATGACGTCATGCATGCCGAGTGCCTGCCTCTGTGCTGGGAAAGGGGTAATTATGGGTGCGTGATCGGCAGTGTCAGTCAAATAGCTAGCTCCTGCTGATCTGCCTTCGTCTGCCCCATCCCCACGGTGCCCCATTCGCAGTTCATTGTAGATGCTCAGTCATTTGTAGAATGAGTGAATGAATGCGGGCAACACAAGGCAGGCTGTGTGCAAAGGAACTCTTTGGAATCGAAGAGAGCTTCACATTAGAAGTGACAGTTGAAAGGAGTCAAGTTTTAAAGCATGCCTGCAAGTCTGGAAGGAGACAGAGCTGAAGGCGGCATTTGCAGCAGAGCGTGGAGCCCTGGTGCAAAGACCGGGAGGCTATAGAGAGTGTGGGAACTGGGATGTGTTGGTGGCTGCAGTGTCAATCAAGTAGCTAGTGCTCCGAAATGAGGTTGTGCAGGCGGTCTCTCCAGGTCACCTCCTTTGCTCTGAATGGCTGGTGTCTGGGTTGTGGGGAAGCATGAAGGATTCTAAGCAGGGAAGTGCCGGGATCGTTTTTTGCACCCTGCAAGGATGCAAAAAATTTTGCTGCAGTGTGAAGCCAGACTGAACCTGTTGCTGGGCAGAATCAGCGACATCTAGTGATGCTCTTCTTGGTGGGAGGAGGGGTAGAACTCTCCGAAACCTATTAATTTTGTGTGAATTCAGGAGGGGAAAGAAAGCAAAGGGGGATGGGGGAGGGAAGGAGTGGCTGGGTGGCTCACTTGGCTAGAACCTTTCTGCGAGTGCTGGGATCCCATGTGGGTGCCTGTTTGCATTCTCTCTGCTCTGCTTCCCATCCAGCTCCCTGCTTGTGGTCTGGGAAAGCGGTAGAGGATGACACAAAGCCTTGGGACCCTGCACCCCTGTGAGACACCCAAAAGCAGCTTCTGGTGGCTCCTGGCTTCGGAGCTGTGCATCTCTGGCCACTGCACACATTTGGGGACTGAACCAGTAGATGAAAGATCTTTCACTGTCTTCATTTTCTAAGTAAATCTGATCTGCCTTTCCAGTACATATAATTAAATCATTAACAGCAACAAAAAGGAGGGGAGGAAATCTAGCAGTGGAGCATGAAATACGGCTTCTGAGCTGAGCTACTGGTGGGAGTGTGTGGCTGTTCACTCAGGCCGGGATTTTCCAAAGGGTTTGTGCCTGCAACTATTGTGGTGTCTCTTCCTCTTCTCTCATTCCTTCTTGGGATCTGCACCCCTAGCCTCACAACTTCCCCAGACCTTAACCTGAATCAGTTCTTCCTTCCCTCTTTCCTTCCTTCCTTCCTTCCTTCCTTCCTTCCTTCCTTCCTTCTTTCCTTCTTTCCTTCTTTCCTTCCTTCCTTTCTTCCTCTCTATCTCTCATTCTTTCTCTCACTTCCTTATTTTAAGGTTGATTCACTTTTGGCTCAGCGTGGTAACCTAGTGGCTAAAGTCCTCACATTGCATGTGCCAGGATGCCATATGGGCATGGATTCTAATCCTAGCAGCTCCACTTCCCATCCAGCTCCCTGCTTGTGTCCTGGGAAAGCAGGTGAGGACAGCCCGTACCTTGGGATCCTGCACCTGCAAGGGAGACCTGGAAGAAGCTCCTGGCTCTTGGCTTCAGATAAGCTGGTGCAGGGTCTCAAGGCTTTGGCCCATCTTCCCCTGCTTTCCCAGGCCACAAGCAGGGAGCTGGATGGGAAGTGGAGCAGCCAGAACATGAGCCAGTAGCCATTTGGGATCCTGGCACATGCAAGGCTAGGATCTAGTCCCTAGGCCATCGTGTCAGGCCTGAATTTCGTTATTTTTAATAGCTGAGGAGTATTCCATGGAGTGGATGTACTGCTAACTCCATTGATTTTTTTTTAAGATTTTCATCTATTTGTTTGAAAAGCAGAGGTACACAGAGAGAGGACAAGATAGCTGGTTCACTACTTAAGTGAGTATAACAGCCAGGACTGAAGGTAGGAGCCAGAAACTTCATCCAGGTCTTCCAAAGGGCTCAGGTTCTTGGTCCATCTTCTGCTGGTTTCCCAGGCACATGAGCAGGGAGCTGGATTGCAAGTGGAACAGCTGGAATTCTGACTGTGCTCATATGGGATACTGGCTTCAAAGGTGATGCTTAACCTGCTGTGCTCTAAGGCTGGCCCCTAGATAATGTTTAAACTGAGAACAGCGTTTTTCAGATTCACAGCAATGAACAAATTGTTTGCATTTATTTCACATTTTCTCTCTTTTCCTGACAGTTTCTGCAAGACTGCAAGCTGATCGCTGAAACCCTTGCTGTGTTGGTGTATGCGGTGTCAATTGGTGAACTCTCCTGGTGCTCAAATCTATCTAGAGACCAAAGGGGACTGAATTCCTAGATTCCCGCTGGTGGTGCAGTGCAAGCTGTCATGCCCTTGAACAAGACGACAGCCATGTCCCCAGATCCTCAAACCCTGGCCTCTCTTGCGTGCAACAAGGTCCCGAGCAGGAATCCTATGATGGATCAGGAATCTCTCCTTAGAGGGGACCCGGAGTCTTTCAGACGGAGGTTCAGGTGGTTCTGCTACTCGGAAGTGGCTGGACCCAGGAAGGCCTTGAGTCAGCTCTGGGAGCTCTGCACGCAGTGGCTGAGACCGGACATTCATACCAAAGAGGAGATCTTGGAGCTTTTGGTGTTTGAGCAGTTTCTGACTATTCTGCCTGGAGAGATGAGGGTTTGGGTAAAGTCTCAGCGTCCAAAGAATGGGGAGGAAGTGGTAACCCTGATAGAGGATTTGACCCATGTGCTTGAAGAACCAAAAGGTGAGGTTTGTGTAGAGAGGGGGAGAAACCCCTCAAAAGCAAGCAACTTACTGTTCAAAGGACTCTCAGGCTTGGGACTCGGGGCAGCATTTGAATCAATGCACATGGCAAACTGTGGTCTTGAGCAAACTCTCTTACCTGGCAGAGTTTTAATGAGTCAGAGGGAGATACCTTCTTTTCCATGATTTTGTTTTGCAGACTGCATCAGGATAGATGTGGGGGGCACACAAGGGTTGTGTCTTTCTCCACTTTGAGCAGGAGACGGCGGTGGGGGGAGGGGGTCCTTAGGACCCGAGAAGAGGAAGTTGCGTGTGCAGGTGATGGGCAGTACCAGTGTTTCACCAGTTCTGCATCCCCACACCCCTTCTACATATCTTGTTTTATGCATCTCTCCAACTGTATCCTTCACAATGCTTTTGATAAGAAGCTGGTGAGCTCACTGCCCTGGTTCTAGCAAACTATTCCAACCTGAGGAGGGAGTCATGGGAACCGTGACATACAGCGAGTTGGTCACTAATTCTGGAGGCCTGGCCTTGCGACTGGCCTCTGACATTGGGAGCAGTCTGTGGGGCTGAGCTTCCTCCAGGTGGACTGTCCGCGTTCACTGAATTAAAGGGCTCTTGGCTGATGTCTGCTAGTGGATCTAGTACAGGATTCCCCACGTGGCGTGTGGGGAAGCACCCTGACGTTGGGGACACTGTGACGTGTGTGACAGGAAGTGACTTGGGTTTTGTTCTGTTTATTTCAAGCATTCATAAGAGTTTTCCATCTAAATAACACACTGGAAAGATCAGACTCTTTCTCCCCACTCCCTAGACCCTGTCTCTCAAGATTCTAATGTTGGCCAAGAGACCTCAGACAGAGACAAAACGATTGCTGTCCATCCAGATGCTGAGTCTCAGGTAAGTCGCCTTCTGCTGGTTAAGTGAGTACTTCACTGGACTCTTAACTCTTGGCATACAGATGAAAAATGGCCAGAGAAGGACAGTATACCTCCTTTTTCACATGGTGTTTATTTCAGTTCACGGAATATGTCCCAAGTTTGACTTCAAAGTCATTTCTTAAATTCCAGCAATCACCCCTGAGAAAATTAATTCATTAGAAATGGAATAATTGTATTTCCTTAATGTGATAAAGGATGTGTCCAATTAGTGCTCCAAGACAGAAAGCAATCCTTATAATGTCCAAGAAACACAGCTATTATATTTTCTGAATATCCTAGCCAATGCAGTACAGTAAGAGAAGTGTAAGCATTGGTGTGTAAGAGGCACACACAGATCACTCACAAATAACATTGTTTTGGAAAATTCACAGAACCAGTGGACAAATACCAAAATTTATGTAATAGTTGGGAAAAGTAGCTGCTTACAAATCAGTTCCTATATGCCAGTTACCAGTTAAGGGAAAATTCTTATTAATAATTGATAGTACTGTGGTGGACCAATAATAACTATAAATGCTTATTTCCTAATCCCTGAACCTGCAAATGTCACTTTGTTTGGAAGAGGGAGCTTGTAAGAGTGACTCAAGTTGCGAAAGGATGGGCAGTTGGCCTAGTGGTTCAGCAGCTGCCCATTAGGAACACCCCATGTGTTGTATTGCAGTGCCTGCGTTCAAGTTCCATCTCCAGTTGCTGGTTCCAGCTTTTTGCTGAGGCTGACCCTGAGAGGCAACAAGGAATGGCTCGAGTAGTTGGGTTCGTGCTGCCCATGAGGGAAACGTAGCTCAAGTTCTCATTCTAAGATTCAGCCACCTAGTCCCAGTCATGGCAGGACATGGAGGAATTCGGTATCTCTTCGCCTCTCAAAACATTTTTAAAAAGGATTTGGGGGCTAGTGCAATGGCAAATCAGGCTAAGCCTCTGCCTGCAGTTGTGGCACCCCCCTATGGGCACTGGTTTGAATCCTGATTGCACCACTTCCTATCCAGCTCCCTGCTAAAAAGCAATAGAAAATAGAGGCTCCTGGTTCTTGGCTTTGGAACCTACCCTGCTCCGGTCCTTGCTGATGACTTTTAACCAGCAGATGACTTTCTCTGTAACTCTGTTTTTCAAATATAATTAGAAATATTTTTTAAAAAAGAGTTTTTTAGGATGAGGAAGTTATATGATTGTGTGAGCAGACCTTATGCTGGCACAGGTGTTCTGATTAGAGAGGCCGAGGGAAATTAACTCACAAAGGGAGGAGGGTGACGAGAGGAAGTGACCATGTGCAGTGATAGGCCAGCGAGTCAAGGAGTACCATGAACTAATGGCAGCCACCAGAAGCTAAGGGGGACAAGGAATAAAGTCTCTGCATGCAGCCCTTCTAGCCCCTACCTCAGATTTCTGATCTTTAGAGCCATGAGAGCAGAAATTTCTGTTGTGTTAAGCCCCAAGTTTATGATAATTTGTTCCAGGGCTCACAGGAAGTTATCCCAAATTCTAGCAGCCATTCTGCTGTACTACCTCAAAACGTCCTGCAGATGGCACTGTAGGAAGTATATTTACTGAGTCCCATTGCTTGCCGGTAATTGTAGAGCAGTTGACACATATATTACTAAACATTTTTTTAGTGGTTATGATAGAAAATGATTGTTGTGTGCACCTGAAAGTTAACATTTGGAAGGTAGTTTCTGATATTTTGTTATTATCTACGCTAGGCTTGCATGAGTTCTGCAAATTTGGGTTTGAGAATAAAATTTAATAATTTTCTTTTCATCCTAGAAATCAGTGGGTTTAGGGTTAGGCACTTTAGAGGATTCTTATGTAACTTTTGACAGCAGAGACTGAGTGGGAAGAGCAGGGGTATGTAAAACTCTTGCTGTAGCTCTTGTCATAGTCCTGGAATAGCTGTAGCATAGCTTGCCATGCAAGTTTTAATAAGTAAATATAAATAAATTTAAAAACCTCCCAAAACAAAACCAACCAAACAAAAAACTTGCATACTATCACAATTTTTATTTTGATGGGTGCGTTTGGATGAGTGGTTAAGATATGGGTTGGGACTCCAAGTCGAATGGCTGTTCTGCTTTGGATCCCAGCTTCCTGATAATGCATTTCCTGCTAATGTAGTCAGCGGTGGCTCCCATAGCTGGGTGCCTGCCACCCCTAGGGGAGACCTGGGTCGAGTTCCTGGCTTTAGCTTGGCCCCGTCCTGGCCTTTGTGAATATTTAGAGAGTGAATCAGTAGAGTCAACAGAGGCTCTCTATCTTCCCTTTGCCTCTAAAATAAGTATTTCCTAAAAACCAAAAAACATTCCTTTAGAGCCTTCTCAGAGTTAGTTTTGGTCCATTTGTGGCTAATGGAATGCAAGCTGACTGTGTTGGGAGTAATGGAGTCCAGAAGAGAACTGTCTGTTCTTCTAGGGATCTATAACCTTCAAGGATGTGGCCATGGACTTTTCCAGAGGCGAGTGGAAGAAGCTGGAGCCTTTGCAGAAGGAGCTGTACAAGGACATACTGCTGGAAAACATCAAGGACCTGGAATTTCTGGGTAAAGTCATCTTGGTGTTCTGGCGTCTCAGCTGGGGCTCTTTTGGTCCCCTTTTATATTACTGCAAGAGAAGTACTCTGAGAAGTACTTGCCCCTGCTTGCGCTGGCCACTCAGGGACCACTGATAGGATTTATCTGAAATATGGTTTCTGAAAACACAATTCTGCAGTATCTCCTGCAATAAACTCCTTTATCTCACTGCATTGGAAATGTGGAACATCGTCTTGCTATCAACGTTATGTTAGCGTCTCCCACGTGCTCCTTCGATTCCAGGGATACCGTCTGTGTGTGCGTCAGCATCTTATTCTCCCTGGAAAACCAGAGGCTCGGTGTGCTTGTTGGTACGTCTTTGTTCTGTGCAGAAACAGCCACTTTCCATTCTTTTCTCTATGTGCAGGCGCTCCGGTTTCCAAATTGGAGTTGATTTCCCAGCTGAAGTGGGTTGAGTTGCCGAGGCAGCTGGAAAAAGAAATCTCAAAAGATTCCAGACCAGGTGAGTTGGTAAGAGGTAGACGAGGGAGTGAAAAAAAGGTGTCTGCTAAGTGATACCTCTGCTAAGTGACAGGTTGGGCAGGCTGGCTGCTCAAACATTAAGATCATTGGAATACAGGTCTGGCTTTCTTAGAATGTTCGATTTAATTAGGGAAACTACTGCTTTGGATGCTCTGAGAATTAGATGCTAAGACGTGATCAGTCATGCAAGAGGTTTATGGCTCGGGATTCCAGTGGAGGAGAACGGTAGCTGGAAGAAGCAGGGAAGGTGGCCTGCTGCACACCTTGTGTCGCCTCTGAGTGAGAGAGGGGCGAAAGGAAGGAGGGAGAGGAAGAGGCCTTGAGCAAGTACACTTTTCTTTATGATTTGTTTTGAGTTATTTGAAAGGCAAAGTAACAGACACACACACACACACACACACACACACACACACACACACACACACTCAGAAACAGAGGGTGAGGTTAAGAGAGTAGGCAAGCCCGGGAAGGAATGTTTGAGCAGGTGCACCTGTCACAAGAGTCCTCCTAAGACTGCCTGGACTCCATCACCACAGGGGACAACCTGAGGGAAAGCGGCCTTGGCCTGAGCGCAGAGGTGGGGGTCCAGAGCAGCAGCAGTGCTGTCAGGTCCTCTCCCACAGGAGAAGGTCAGAGAGGCCCATTATTATGGATGGCACAAACAGGAAAACAAATGTGATATGTGCCATAATCACAGTACAGGTGAGAAGCTGTAGGAATGCGATGGTCCCTGGGTTCACCATGGCTACACTTACTTTGTGTGTCAGGGATGCACACGGAATGGGAACTGCATAGTGGCTTTTGAGCTTTGCTGTGATGTGTGGTGCAGAGCTATGAGTGCTGGGCAGTGCAACAAGCCACCCTCCCTGTCACTGCTGCACTCGCATGAGAAGCAACCCTCCTGCGAGTGTCCCGTGTCCTGTGTGGCCAAGCGAGTGCGTTTAGGTCAGTTGTGTTAAATATGGTTCTGAGTTAATGGCATCCTCAAGTCAGAGTCAGTAGAGGGATTGTAAGCCCTGTCAAGGTGCAGCTATTCATAGGCACAAGGATGCACCGAGATGTGATTTCAATTTTGAAGGATAAGTAAGAATTTGCCTTATAGTAATTCTAGTTTTGTCAAAATGGAATACATACGTATATATGAAAATGTTCATGGGAAAGTGGCCTTGAAATAGAGTGCCCAGGACCCGCGAGCTCTCTGATACCCTGCCCATGTGTGAATGCACAGCTCTGGGTTGTAAGACTTCAGAACATTTCCCTTAAGACCTGCTGTCTTTGAATGGTGAGATCTTTTTTTTTTCTTTATCCTTCTCTGTATCATCTTAAAATTTAATGACAAATGATTAAATTTACATTTAAAAATAATGCTTTATTACACAGATCAGTAATTTTCACTTATTTTAAGGGAAAAAGAAAAATCCATTGTGTTCTAGTCCATCTTCTAAGCCATTTTTTTTTTCAGCTGGGCTATCAGCTGTTTCTTGTGTAATTGCATAAATAAATGTTAAAGTAGCATTTTGAAGAGTACCCAATAATGGATTCTAATATTTGTCCCTTCCCCTCAGAGCCGCATGTGCAAGAAGCATCCTATAGGGACAGCTGGCTTCAAAGAAGCATCCTATAGGGACAGCTGGCTTCCAGAGTCATTTACACATGCTGAGGGATACTTCTCGCAGACGAAAGTCAATAGCCATCATTTATAAAAAGCTCCTACAAATCAATAAGAAATACCAAGAATGTTGGTAAATGGGCAAAGAACCTGAAAAGTTAAATGGCAAAATTAAATATTTGTGAACATGAAAAATATGTTCACTAGTAAGTTGTGAAATACAGATGTAAAGCAACCGTGCTGTTTATTTGGAAAGCAAAGATTTGAAGCGTATCTAAGCAGTGATTTCTCACATGCTTTTCCTCCTTACGTGTCATGTCAAGTTGGGAATACCTTTGCATCTTTGGTTAGGTAACTCCATCTTTAACAGCCTTCCAAGAGACACATTGGAGACACATCAATGAGAGAATGACTAAATCCAGTGTATGTGAGGGATTATCATGTCATTGAGTAAAATCATCATTATAATGAATTACTAGTGAGATGGGAAATAATTTTTTCAAGATTTATTTTACTTTTATTGCAAAGTCAGATTTATAGAGAGGAGGAGAGACAGAGAGGAAGATCTTTCGTCCGATGGTTCACTCCCCAAGTGTTCGCAATGGCCAGAGCTGAGCAGATCTGAAATCAGGAACCAGGAGCCTCTTCTGGGTCTCCCATCCAGGTGCAGGGTCCCAAGGCTTTGGGCTGTCCTCAACTGCTTTCCCAGGCCACAAGCAGGGAGCTGGATGGAAAGTAGGGCTACTAGGGTTAGAACCAGTGCCCATATGGGATCCTGATGCTCACAAGGTGAGGACTCTAGCTGCCAGGCTACCATGCAGGACCCCAAATGGGAAATAATTAAAAGCAGTTTATGCATAGAATTTTTTTCTTGAATTCTACTTAGAAATACTTAGGAAGAAAATAAATATCATTTCAGGGTCATGGGATTTTGAATTTTGTAATTTTGTATTTTGTAATTACCTGTTTAAAAAAGTTTTATGCAAGTGACAAAGTGACCAGATGAATCAAAGCTTGGATTATATGGTTATATGGTTAGTAAAAGCCTGGATAATATAGTTATATGGTTAATAGATGCATTCGTTGTCCTGAGAACAGTGAGTAGAGTGTGGTTATTGAGGAGAGATTTTAGAACTTGAGCACTAGACCTTGTCACCTTTATGCTGTGTGGGATGATGGAAGTGCTATGGGATTTTAGGGCAGGAAGTAGGAAGCACTGAAGATGAAAGAGTGGGCTTAACAATTCCTGTGGGCGGGCCCTGCATGATAGCCTAGCAGCTAAAGTCCTTGCATTACACATGTCCAGGAACCCCTATGGGGGCCAGTTCTAATCCCGGCAGCCCCGCTTCCCATCCAGCTCCCTCATTGTGGCCCGGGAAAACAGTCAAGGACGGCCCAAAGCCTTGGGACCCTGCACCCACGTGAGAGACCCAGAGAAGGCTCCAGGCTCATGGCTTTGATTTGGCACAGCTCCAGCCATTGAGACCGCTTGGGAAGTGAATCAATGGATGGAAAATCTTCCTTTCTGTCTCTCCTCCTCTCTGTATATCTGATTTTGAAAAAAAAAAAATCTTAAAAAAAAATTCTGCAGGAGATAGATACCCAAATAGAGTGTGTGTCAGGCTGCTAGAGCCAGACTGCGATCAGCTTTGAAAGTTGTACATAATGTGAAGTGTCAGCATTTTCCATAAAGCCAGTGGTATTTACCTTATTTGACGATTGCAATTATGCCATAGGACTCAAAAAGGTGGACTTTGGTGTAAAACAAAGCTTAAAAAAAATCTTGCTCTTGTATTTAACAATACAGAGCCCATGGGCAAGCTACTTATGCTATGAACTAGGTCGTGATAAGTATAAAAAAGATGGCAATAAGACCTACTTTGCAGGGTGGTTGTGAATATTAAATAAAAATAATGCAAGGAAAGACCTTGAACTTGAGACCTGGCATATTTGTGCTATCACTGTTTGGACAAGACCCTTTTGGACATTGGAAAAGGAGGTTTGAACTTGATTTGGAAATTCAACCTGGGGCTAAGAACTGTGTCTCTTAAAGTGCAACCTTTGTATCCCCGACAGTTTTTTCGGTGTTGACTGTATTTCCTTGAACTGCTTTCCTGTCTGTATTGTATAAAGCTGTATGTGGGAGCTGTCCAAGCCATCCTCCTTCTAGTCGTTACTGTCTCTGTTCCTATGTTCTTCCCTAGAAGAGCAGATTCCGTTCCTGTAAACGGGAAATGGTGTAATTGCTTTTTTCTTTTAGGGTGTGATCCTAGAGGTGAGCTGGAGGCATCCGCCCAGAGTTCTCACGTTCTGATGGAAGAACTGACTCTGGAGAAAATAGTAGAAGGTGGCTTTAGGGATGATGGTCACGACTTGATGGCAGAATTGGAGAAATACTATGGCAGACCTGAGAATGAACAAGGCAGATCTTCCAAAGGAAAAACCACACAGAAGAGTAGCAGGAGAGGCAAGAAGGGCGAAGACACAGAGAAGACCCCCTGCGGGAGTACACTGAAGCGAACTTCGGACGTCATTAAATACTTGAGAGTCTACTTAAAGAAGAAGTCTCGGAAGCAGAGTGAAAGCAAGAAACCCTTCAGTTTCCATTCCGATCTCGTCCTGAATCGGAAGGAGCATGCCGGAGAAAAGTCACGGAAGCACAAGGAAGGTGGCAGAGGTGGAAGTCGTGCTGCGTCTGATCATCAGAAACATCCAAAAATCTATTTGGGGAATAAGTCCCGGAAGTGTAACGTGTGTGGGATATCCTTTACTCACGGTTCTTGCCGTCCTGAGAGAAGGAGCTCCCCTACCTGTCGTAAATGCTGGAAAGCTTTACATCCAGACCCACCTGCCGATAAAGACGAGGCCGCGGAGAACACGCCGAAATGTAGCAAATGTGGGAAAGCCTTTGGTCCCTGCACCCCACTGCCTAAATCCCACAGAACTAACACTGGAGAGAAGCCCTCGCTGTGCCACGAATGTGTCAAGGCTTCCCGTGGTGCCTCATCCCCCACGCCACCTGCTAGTCAGAGCGAAGACAAACCATTCAAATGTGATGACTGTGGAAAAGGGTTCACCCTCATCGCCCACATCATTAAGCATCAGAGAATTCATACAGGGGAGAAACCCTACAAATGTAAAGACTGTGGCCGAGCCTTCAGCGACAGTTCATCTCTTATTCAGCATCAGCGCATTCATACCGGAGAAAAACCCTATAAATGTAACGATTGCGGCAAGTCTTTCAGTCACAGCTCATCCCTTTCCAAACATCAGAGGATTCATACTGGCGAGAAACCCTACAAGTGCGATGAGTGTGGAAAAGCGTTCCGACAGAACTCTTGCCTTACCCGGCATCAGAGAATTCACACTGGAGAAAAGCCGTACTTGTGTAATGATTGCGGGATGACCTTCAGCCATTTCACCTCCGTTATTTATCATCAGAGACTCCACGCAGGAGAAAAACCTTACAAATGCAGCCAGTGTGACAAAGCCTTCCCCACCCACTCTCTCCTTAGTCGGCATCAGAGGATTCATACTGGTGTGAAACCTTACAAGTGCAAGGAGTGTGGGAAAACCTTCAGTCAGAGTTCGTCGCTCAATGAGCATTTCCGGGTCCACACGGGAGAGAAGCCCTACGAATGCGACTTCTGTGGAGCCACCTTTGGTCGCAGCTCCATCCTCGTGGAGCATGTGAAAATTCACACCAGGACCAAAGACTACGAATGCACGAAGTGTGACAAGATATTTAAGAGTAATTCAGGACTTATCCGACACCGGGTGTATCACGCCTCGGAGTAATTCTGGGAATGTCATGGGGTGTGGCGGGGCGGGGATTGAGTCCACATGGTCCTTATTAAAGCCTGGGATATAACACACCATGACATTGATAAGGAGCTGCAATGCTGATGTATTGGCAGCGAGGGGAAAATACCGCATTCCCCCTATATTCGTCTTATTTCCAAAGACGTCACCTGCTGGCAAATAGTGGTTAGGATATCAAGCTGTGTGCAAAGTGAAGAAAATACTGTGTGATATGAAATGATTCTGAGAGGCTTGAAAGCTGTTTACTTTCTTTACTTGAGGAGACTGCCTTCTCCTAACGACCCTTCTTCTACTGCTCGTTATGTGAGAAACAGAACCTGGCCTTACCCAGAATAGCCTGGGTTCTGCCCAAACTTTGCTGTGTACTGTGGAGCAGTTTGGATGAATCACTGGACATTTCTGAATTTTAATTTCTTGGTCAGGAGAGTGAAGGGATGATATGAATGAAATATATATATATATATAATTGGAGATATGATTGCACATGATCCGGAACATACATACACCAACATCTAAGACAACCCCACTGATGCAGGTAAAATTCAGGAGCAGTGTAGAGTTGATGCACAGAGTGGGTTTTCAGTTGAATTTTCTGTTGCATTTACTCAAAGGAGCAGAATGTGCCGATGCTGCTGGGTTATTCCTGCTGCATTTCATCAGTGAACTAGGAATAATCATTTCTAAGTGTGAAAGGAATGAAAGGCCCTGAGCGACTTAGGTTTGGGACCAGGTCTTCATGTCTCATACTCTTGATAGAAATTCGTATTTTTCTATCTCTACTTGAAATTCTTTGACAGAAAATTGTCATATGTTTGAGGTGTTAGGCAATGAAATAGCATTTCTGTGTAAATTTGAATATTCCTGGAGACAGAATGTATTCATAGATTACTTGGGCAGTAACACAACTCATCTTAGGCTAAAGAAAAATACTTGAAAATTTTCAAATTTTGAATCGATTCCTCTTTGATAAGTAGAAATATATATGTATATTTTATGAGCAACATGCAGTTTACTCATGTATATTTTATGAACAAAGTTATTCAATGGCTGAATTGAATAACTGAATTCAATTTTTGTGAATGTCCTTTAAAATCTTTTCCTCATAATTTTATAAATAAATCATAAAATCTCTCCATCTAAGATTTTTTTTTTTCTCTAAGATTCTCCTTTGTATGTGCATGTCAAATAATTTGGCTATGATATCTGGTCAAGTTTACAAACTCATGTCCTGTTAAAATTTGCTTAAATTGTTTTTGTTAGAAATTCTCATTCCATATGACAAATTTTATGGATCTTTTGTTTTACTTTAAATTTTTGAACAATTACATAGATTTAAAATGTTGTCTTAAATATTGTCTGCTGTATTAACACTTGAAATCAAGAAAATGTTTTGTTCTGCTATAGTGAACACTGTACTAATAGCCTTTTTTCTTGACTATTTTGTGGTATTGACTTGTGTGCCTCTACTGAATTCAGCTTTAATTGTAAGTCTTTATTTACAATTTATTTTCCATATGTCAAGTAAAAATGGGCTCATTATCATTCAAATACGAGGTGTCTCAATTTATGAGTATGACTTACTTATGTAATACTGGGCTATCTGCATACAAACATTACAGTAAACACATTATAACACTATAACAGTGCATAGAAAAAAGTCAGCTGAAGGGAATCAGTGTGTTGATACTGACTAGATTGGTGATGTGTTTGTGTGACACCAGAAATGCCTGTCTCCCTATAAGTGTCACAGCCCCGTGCAGTTCAGTGTCCTCTGTGATGCAGTGGTTGATGTGAGATGTAGTTCTATCAAGACAATAAAGTTGTGTTTAATGAAAAAAGAATATTCATTCTGCTTCTGTTTGTCTCAAGTATGAAATGGGACACTATTTGCATTTTCAATTCCCAGTGGCCTCCAGCAGCCACTATGTTAGAGAGAACAGAGTGAGAGTAAGCCATGCTGGGCTCGGGGAACCCATATAAATAAATTCAGTAGGAATTGATTTCCCAGGCAGCCTTCCAGCATTTTGGTGCTTCCCAACATTTTGCAGCACTGCCGCCTACAATGTGTGACTTCCAGGTTTCCAGGGCCATGGTAAGAAAGAACTGGAACTTCGAGTGATGCTCAGAAGCACTGGTCTGCAGGCAGCTTAGAAGCACTGGTCCCAAACCAAGTGCTAGAGTGTCCCAGGGCACTGTGGGAAACTTAGCAGGTCTTCCCAGGATTCTTAGTTTTGAGGATAACATGGCTGTGACCTGTGGGCACTGCAACAACTCTACTAATGGCTTGTTTGGAAGAATTCAACAACTGGAACTAGCAGGTATTTCTTTCGGTCTCGGGGGCGGGGAGGGGGTAAGGGGAGGGCGGTGCTGTGGATAATTGCCGTACTAAGGATGCTCTCAGGGAGTTTGAGAACCATCAAGAGGTTTAGAAACCACCTCTCTCCATTGCCCAGAAGCCACACATGACCCTAACCTATCTGCAGGGAGGTTGGTAATGCGGTTTTCTCTAGATCAAGGTGAGCACATCAGTGATTTCTGTCTTTGTGGTCACTAAGCTCGTTCTGGCTGCACAGATTGTACATTGTCCCCAAGGGAGACATTTCAAAATTTGAAATTTGAATCTGTCCACAATTCGAGGGTTAGAGTATCTGGAGTTGGAGACTTTGAATTTGACTTGTTATATGCCTTTGGGACCTGCAGTGTCATTCATCTTCCTTGTGGCAAGGTCATGTGTACAGAACGAGCTCTGGCTTCTCTCCAGAATGATCTCCTAGTATGTCTGGGGTGGTGGAGGAGGCTGAAGAAAGCTGCATGCTGGGGCAGGAGTTAGAGTTCACCTCCGGTGATACAGACTTGTAATTAAGCTCCAGTTTTTAGTTTCATATTTCATTTCTACCGTCATTTAGGTCCAGAGGATCCAAATGAACAGATTTTCATTCTGCTTCAATGCCACTTTCATGTGGAGTTGCAGATGTGTTCATTGTAACCTGAGAAACAAGTCAGGAGACTCAAACAGCTCTTCGGCAGAGTTCTGTCTGTATATTTTAAGGCAGGTTTACAGGAACGAGAGACAGAAAGATCTCCCATCTGCTGCTTTACTCCTCAAATGGCTAAAACAGACCACTGATGTGGTCTGAAGCTAGAACTTATTCAGCATCTCCATACAAGTGCAGGGTTCCATGACTTTGGAATATCCTTCTCTGCCTCCCAGACCACAAGCAGGGAGCTGGATGGAAGTGGAGCAGCCAGGACATGAACCTGCAGCCACATGGGATGCCTGCATGTACAGATGGAGACATAGCCAATTGAGTCAATGTGTTGGGCCATCTTAAGGCAGATTTTCAAGCACCTGTTTATCTTTTAGCCTCTGATTTTCTATTTGTTTCCATGGCAGAACTTAAGTCCCTGCTTCCTGGTTCTTTACAAATTCCATCAAGGCCACAGTCGAGCACTGTGGTGCTGGATTTGGAGTTCAATTTTATACCTCTGTTCTAGTGGAAACCCTCTTACATCACTCCAGCATTTTTTTTTACATGATTCAAGCAATCTTTGGGTACTTTCTTGCTTTCTGATATAAAACATTGCAGGCTCCTCCTCTTGTGAAATCTGTCACGAAAGACAGCTCCTCAGTTCACATCAGTATCTCCAATCTCAGCATAACACCCCAATCCACTTCCCTTCCCTGACAATACGAACCCACTGGCTTCCAATATCTTTAATTTATATGTTTGATACAGTCTTCCATGTGCATCCATTTTCCATCACCACCACCTGTCTTCCTTCACATGGAATTATGTTGGCTCCACTCTTGCTTTCACATTCTGCACCTGGTCATGACACTTGCTTCTCCAGCTGACCAATTTCTTTCTCTGTCTATGCTAATAGCTCATGGTGGATCGCATTTCCCACATAGCAGCTTTCTTTGGGCTCTGGCCTCCATGCCAACTATCCCATACATTCCATTTACTTGGTATTTGCTTGTAGTAGATCACTCCCTCCTCAGTGCTTAGGACCTTCCCCGGTTCTCCTGTGTCTAAGCAAGAGGCTTCCATCCTCTGGCTTACCATGCCTGGAGCCCAGCTTCTTCTCTTATTCGGAAGCCATCCACAATTCTCGCACCATCCTCTCTCCTGAATCTTTAACATTTTCTTCCCTGCTGCATGCTTACCTTAACCTACAAATTGCTCAACTCTGATGTCTTAAAATCTCATTTTTGAGGCAGGCACAGTAGCACAGTGTGTTAAATTACCATCTATACCACCAGCATCCCATATAGACATTGGTTCAGGTTCCCAAGATGTTCTAAGAAGAGTATGTGATGCACATGGCCTGAAGAAATTGTAGGGAAGGACAGAGATGGAACCAAGTCAGATGAGAAAAAGAGATGGATTTTGCAAGCCCTGGGACAAATGGAAATAATTACCTGCCCACTAGCTCTTCCATCATCATATACAATGCTGGACTTTATGCTAGGTATATGCTTGCAATGAAGGAATCTCAACTGAACTTGAACTGTGGTTATGCAGCAAGGTGTAGGAATCCACCATGGGGGCAGGGTTGTGGGAGGGGTGGGGGGAATCCCAGAGCCTATAAAACTGTATCACATAATACAATGTTAATAACAATTTTTAAAAAGTAATAAAAAACATACTGAGATGAAAAAAAAGGATCCACGGAGAGGAACAAAGCTTCAAGCAGGACCTCTGTGAAACAAAGCAACCCATGTGCAATTAGGACCTCAGGACTTGGCTTTGCAGGGTTTCTAATAAACACAGATCATCTGAGGCTACAGGTTTCCCTCTGCTATATGCTTTCCCTACAAGAAACAAATGCTCCTGCATTTGGCCAAGTGCAGTTAATAATAATCAGAAATAAAGCAATTTACTCAACATCACTATGCGCTTTGCTTGCATTATTTAAAATTTTTCGTAATTTCAGTGCTAGAGAGAAAGTTTGCACCTGCTGGCACATTACTC